AAGAGCAGCTCCGGGAGAGAAGATTCCCCTGCCTTATGTAAGCTTTGATCTGCAGTCTCTCGGTCACCTCCTCTCCTTCCATTAGGACTTCTGATCTCAGAAGGAATAAAATTTGGCATCTTCTGGCCCTGGCAATTTCCTTACAGTGAAATTTGTCAAAGGGCATGAGATACTGTGGCTTAAGTCCTGGATCAAAGTACTTATGTGCCCACCCTTTCAGAGGTTTCCTTCCCTTGCCTCCTGCCCTCTCTCTCCCTGAAAAAGAGCTGAGTGCAATTAGGAAGACAGAGACTAGAATCTGCATGCCACTTAAACATCAGTTCATTCATCCTTATAACTCTTCTTTGTACATCATGCTCTCATCTCTAAGAAGTGATAGAAGCCTCCACAGCCTTTCATGTTTTGAGAAATAATTGCACTGAAGGGAATTAACGTGCGTTTGTGGGGTGGTGAAACAAAAATAAATGGCATTGAGGTATTTTTGTTGCTCTAGCTTAACACCTTGATGTTTGGATGCTTGTGACTTTTCATCCTGTAATCCCTCTTGTGAGTTCAAATCCCTGTGCTTCTTCTTTGCACCCTCTCATGTGGTGTCCCTTCCCCTCTGCTGCAGTGGGAGGTTGATTTTGCCTGCAGATCTGATTCCATTTTTTTGCCTGCAGATCTGATTCCATTTTTTTTCTGGTGGGTTGCACTCAGTCCAAGCACTGGGGTTGCAGAAAGAAAAGAAAGAATGGCCTTGTGGTCATGGTACTAGCCTGAAACTTGGATTTTTATACACTTTGTCAGACTTGTTTTGTTACAGTACTCAGAAGTCCCTTAGGGGATGGTTGGCAAAAGGTGTTTTTATGTCTTAATTACCTTTTGAAATCCAAGGGACACTGCATGTCTAAATATCCACAGGAGTCTTGTCCTGTATGTGTTGGCTTGCTGTCTGCAAAGGTGAGATCTCTATCCTAGACAGAAAATGTTTTTTCTGAACTTTCTTCCCTGATAAGTATCTTGTTTAGTAGATAACCTTCTTTTCCTAATATGCATATATATATATATTCTTTTTTGTATCTATACACACATCCAGGTGTATATGGGAATGTTTATATAATGTGTGCTAAACATTATTTTGCTTCTTCATGTAGTACTTTTAAGATACAAAATATTTCACTTAAGAATAAAATATTTTTCTCTTTTTTGCATAACTCATTGATTTTACATGCAGTCAATTAATTTTTGTGAGGACTGGGCCATAAGCATATATGTAGGCTGCAGAAAGGTGTTGGTGTTTTGCCCAGAGCTTGTGGTTGCTGTGCTAAGGTTTTTCCTCACCATCCTTGCAGCTTATGTCTGTGATTATGCTATTTATCATACTATTTATGATTAATAAAATGCTGGTCCCTTGGCTGCTTACACCAGACGTGTTAATTCTGGATGGATGGATGGATCTGAACCACAGCCATTGCTAGGTACAAACAGCTTGCTAGCACACAATTTGAGGGAAGAAACAAAAAATTTATGTATGGTTGAAAGAGCACAGATAATAAGGTAAATAAGTTCTGGGTGAAATGGTCCCTAAGCATTCTTTGCCTGCCTTATAGACATTTGTCATGTGAGATCATTTATATAGAGAACACAATATCCTTCACAACTTCTCCAATTTCCCTCCAAACTGAGAACTTTAGTGTGAATTCTTTACTGTGTAGGGAGTTGTGTTTCTTGAGCTCACAGAATGCTTTGCTCAGTAGCAGTCTCTCTGATTTGTCATCAGTTTAGATCAAGTTTAGTGATTTTTTTTTTCAATTAAAACATAATGTAAAATTATTGCCCAATTAGAAAGCATTATTGTGTGTTTATAAGCATCCCTGAATGTACTAACCCACTGGAAGCGTGCAGATGTCTGTTGGAATTTAATTTCTCTGCAGCACATTGGGGGTGGGGACAGAAGAGAAGTAGCCAGAAAATTATAGTTGCTGCAGTAAATACCAGGCTTCTCCCAGTGACCTGCACTGACTGAAGAGTTTATTACATCTAATGGAAGCATAAAACATCTGTTCAGCAATGCTGTTCCCTGTATTTGTACCAGCAAATCAATCACTCTTGGCTGATTGTGACTCCCCACAACAGGCAACAGAGAAAAGGAGGCGCCACATTTTAAACTTTATTGTATGAAAGATGTTGTGGAATACCTGCAAGGCTTCAGTGTACATTAAGCAGTGGCAACCTTGCTTCACCTCTGTGGTGTGGTCCCTCCTGAGCTCCAGAGGCATAGGTGGGCAGGCCAGCAGGAATCCTGTGGGTGGATGGAATAGCCTGTAGCAAGGAGCATGGATGATGGACAAGGTGTTCCAGAAAGCTAAATTTAGAGCTCTCCAAGTTGTTTTTTTTTTTTTTTTTTTTTTAATCTGGGGGTTCCTACAAAGTCAGTCTGTGTTGTCAGGTGGTGACACCCTGTGATAAGGCAGAGGTGTGGTGAACCTTGTGCTCTAAATTGAGCAAATTCTACTCTGGAGCACAGAACTGCTGCTGGTACAGGGTGTGTGCTGTCCTTGCTCTGGGCTGTCGAGGGTGAATCCAGGGCACTGCCTTCAGCAGAACCATTTCACTTGGTTCCAGTTAAAGCTGGCACTTCACTGAGGTGGTTTTCACCCCCCAGAAGAGGTGTTTTTGTACTTTGCAGCAGCTGGTACCCCAGAGCTGCAGCATGCTGGCCATGAGTGGCTGCCTTGGGGGCAGCTCCCCAGGGCTGGCCAGTCTGTATAAAACAGCAATTTGGCCGAGCCCCTCACAGCCTTATAGCTGGCTGGTGGGAGCTCTGAATGGTGGCCAGAGCAACAGCTCCCTGAGCAAAGCTGTTTGACATCACCAGCATTCTTTTATTGGCTTTGCAGGCTCTGTACCTGCTGCTATTGGATGTAGCAAAAAAAAAAAAAGCTTCTTTGTCAGGGGTGGTTTTTTGCAATCTAAATAACACCTTGTTTGTGTGGGGCTTTTTTTTTCTCCTTTTTTTTTTTTTTTTTTAATGTAGTGTTTCTGGAGCAGGTCCTGGCAGTGTCAGTCACCAGCCTGAGCAGTTCCCTTTGCCAATGCTTTTGAATCTCTGCCTGTGTCAGTGTATTTCCTAGGGAATTAGCCAAGATTATTCACACCTCAGATAAAATTTATTTATTCTATTAGCAGTGACTTCAATATATCCAATTTTCAGCACTTGGTGAAGAGGAGAATTTTGCTTTTTTTTTGCTAGAAAGCCTTTGCATGTGCTTCCATGTGTGGATCTTGTTGCCATGGCATCAGCTTATAAGCCTGAGAAGCACAGGTGGGAGCATTAGCCAGTAAATAGGCATTAGGAGCCAGCCCTGCTGCTGTGTAGGGCTCTGTCTTGTCGTGAGGATAGAGGTGTGGGATATGGCAGTGATTTATGTATTTTCATGGCTGGGACTTGGAGCTTTTCCTGTCTGCAGTATTGTGGAATAAAGGACTCGACGCAGTCCTGCTAGTGCTCTTGCAAAGGCATTGCTTTTCCTGCTGCTTTGTCTTGATTTTTCTGAAGACGAGGCCATGCTGGAATGTGCTGTCACTTGAATTATTTTTCTTGCACTGTTTTCCCAAATGCTTTAATGTGTTGTCTAAGGACCTTTATTCTAAAGAGTCTTTTTCTTCTTCCTTGCCATTGTTGTGTTGGGATAGCTTTGCCCAAATGTTTTCATGTAGCAGTTGTGGCACAAGTAAAATGTGCGTAGTAGTGATTGTGGTGCTCATTTGTAACACACGAGCTCCAGGTACTCAGTGTGTCAGTCTTGGGTGTCTCTTCACCAGTAAATTCTCAAGCACAGTGAGCTGAGCACAAGGCCTGTTTTATTAACTTCTATGGTTTTATGTTCTGCAGACATGGAGGTGATTATAGCTGTTTCTCTGGCTGTAAAAGCTATAAAGTGATGCATGCACAGAACCATATAAACTTTTGATGGTATGGACTTCTAGTTTTTAATATAATTGAGCATATACTCCTGTATTATATTTTGCCATTGCAAATGTTCTTTAGGAAGAAAGTGCTTATTAGTTTTCTCCAGCTCAGTATTAGGTATAATGGGCAAGTACTTTCAAGACAGTGAACTGGATACAGAATTTTGAGGGGGTTGCTTTTATTTAAATTAAAAACTTGAGGACACTCAGCAGAGTAACCTTGTGTGAAGTGAAGTCTCTTACATCAGACAATTATGCCAGCAGTGACCTTGCAAAAGAAATTCTGTGGGAAAGACAAGCCCTTGCAGTAAGGACAGGGGGCTGCTCTGGGTGCCTGTGTTACCATCATTGATGGACAACTTACAAAAACTCACTACACCAAAGCAACTTAAGCATCAGGCATTTCACTGCAGCTACAAAGAAGGATGAAAAATACCTGAACTATAAGTTTGCTTTGAAAAGAAATTGATTAATCATTTAATGATTTCCATCATTAATGAGCTAACAGAAGGGTTGAGTCCCAGGGTAGTTTTTCTCCATTCTAGGCAAGTGACTTGTAGGGATCATATCACATCAGGTTTATCACACTGAGCCTGTATAATTTGAGCAGTTCCTCAGGGGTCAGCTGGAAAAACAATATAGGTAACAGAGGTGGAAATCTTCATCACCCTTTTGATTCCCAGCTGCCTCTGTATGGATTAATCTGTGTTTGCTCTGTGCCTCTTGTCGGATCCAGTGGGTGTTGTCAAAGGTGTGATGCTTTTGCAGAATTGTGGCCAGTCTTGCTTGAAAGGGTTGAAATGTCTGCATTTTGAGAAGAAAATACCTCTTTATTAAACAAACAATCGTGCACTCCTGCCACTAAGCCCCTAAGTGAGGCTACAAATGAAATTCCATTTAAGAGTGGGAACACTTCAACCTTGATTTTTGCATCCTATAAACTGTAGTTGTTTGTTTCAGGTTAATTTTTAATTTCCTGTCATAATTGTGACTGTTTTCCTTCTGGTAAGCAGGTACTGATTTAGTCATTCATATTTCTTTTTCAGATCGCGTGTGGCTCAGAGCATAATCTGGCAATAGTTGGTAAGTGGCTTAATTTTATAACAAATCCTCTCACCTTTTTTTCGTTTTTAGTAGCACAAGATGAAAGAAAAATGTGTACATCAAACATACTGAATGATTATGGGCATTGCATGTAGCTGAAAGGAGGAAAGTAACATATAGATGTAGAGGAAAGAAGAGAAACTGGTGACAGTAAGTGCTGGTGATGAAATTGTGGCCTTGTAGACTAGCCCCTGTAAGGAGAGAGGGGTTGATGGATGTAACAAGAAAATACATTTGCAAAGTGTTACAGCCTGTTTTAGCCTGGAGCCATTGCAACAATCCAGGCTGCAGATTCAGAATAGCACCCAAGCTTGGTGCTGGTCAAAAGTATCTCTGTTTAACAAGATGGAAATTATTAACATGGAAATTATTGTTGAAAAGAATCCTGGATCTTTTGTTGTTCAAAGCTTGGAAAATCTTCAAAATGTCAGTCAGTGGTAGACAGGTTCTTTAGTGCATTTTAGCATAATGCAGCTGTAGTAATAATGATGGAAGTACTAGGAAGCTAATGTCGGTGCAGAAATTGAATTTTGTGTACTAATTCCAGGAACAATCGGATTCTTGCTTTCATGTGATGAGTTGATAACTGAAGTTTGATACATGATTGCTATTATATGTAATTACTTGTTTAGGAACATTTTTAACTGTATATTTTCGAGTGCTTTGTAAAGGAGGTCAGCATAATTATCCCCATTAATAGACAGGACAAGACAGATGAAGAAAGGAATTCTGTGCTAATGAGAGCTGGAAATGAAGCAGCACTCCATCCACTTAGATGTTTTTGATTGCTGTGACTGATGCATTGAGGTGTCAAGTAAAGAATTTCCTTATTTTTCTAAAGTGTAGTTTGACAGAGGTACAGAAAAGCAGCTGTTTGGTGTTCAACCTGCTTTCCATGCACTATTTTTTCAAGTTCTGTTAAGTGACCACAAAGGTGGCATCTTCTGTATTTCCATATCTGCTGTAGTATATTTTCTAATTATCTTTCTCCAGTTAAACCTTGTAGTGAACTTGTTAAAGTGCTATTAAGTTTATAACTGGGTTTAAGAAAAGATTTTTCTTTTGCCTTCTCCCTACTTGTTCAGTGTCACATGCCTGTATTAATTGTCAGGCTGGTGCTTCTGAATGTCGACTGAAGAGCAATCTTGTTTCTTGCTGAATTGATGAAGTAAAAATGTGCTGCTGGCAGATTCCTCCAGTGTGCATGAAAGCAAAGCATTGAGTTTGAACAACCTTCTCTCTGCCTATGTCCTTTTAAGCTTTCTGCCTTCTAGGCAGAAATCTCTGGAAAAAATGGGTTGGGGAAAGAAATTCTAGAAGAAAGTTACAATAAACGAAGAACTTTGCATATGTAAAGAACACCATATGCCTATCTAAGCTGCATGCTATGCTCATTGAATTCAATGGGGGAATTATCAGTGCTGGAAGCCAGTCAATTTTATTTTAAGGACAACAGAAATGTGATGTTGCAATTTTTTTGAACTAAAGAACTATGATACAATTTTCCCTGAATTGAATTTTACATATGTTTTTAAAAGGTTGACTTTTAGAACATTCTGTGGTAAGATTTCTCTGATCAATGGCCATTCTTGGTTCCAAGTTGTCAGCTGGTATAGTTCTTAAAAGATATCACACGGATTTCCATGAATGTCTACTTGATTGTACAAATTTCTAATAACTTATTCAAGCAGAGTTCATTTATAACAACTGTATCAGCCATGTCTTTCTTAATTAGTAAATGCTTGAGTGATTGACTTTTAAACTGAAATTATTCAAGTTCAGTATGACAGGTAAACTGAAAGGCCTTTAACAGTATAATATTCAAGTCATAATTTCTGGTTGTATATACCAATGTGCTTGTGCTTTCTTTGTTGCATCATCTTTTAAATGGAAAGATTTTTAGGACAGAGAGGCTGGATTTATGATTCATTCCACAAATGCTGAAGTAGTGTCCCAATCATCTTGCTGGTGATGCAAGCTGTTTGATTTGTAAGGCTAGCAAGCAGTTAGGTATTTTCATGTGACTTTATGTAGTCTGCATCCATTTGTACAGTTCAGTTATTTGAATTCTCTTCTCTTGCTTTCTTCTACTGGAGTCAGTGCAGAATTTTTCTGCTCTCTTCACTGTGATGGCTCTTGCTCCTTTTTTTGTGGCTATATTGGTAGTATTTTGGTTTTCATTTGGTTTTCATCATGAGGTAAATGTTTGATATAAAGGCGAATGAGATGGTTGTCTTGAAACGTCCCTGGTTTTCTAAACTTAATGAGTTAAAAGTTGCTATTAGTTCGTAAAAAAGTGTAAACATCACTGCTAGCCCTTGCTGAAAACACATTTTTATCTTCATTTGGGGTTGTACTGTGAAATTAATTCTAAAACTTGTAAGTGTTGTAATATTTTTTTACGTTTGAATGACTTTTTGCTTGAGAACAAAAATCCTTGCCTGTTCAGAGAAGACCTTGCACTTTTCACCTCAATCAAGGATTAATCATCTTAGGAGCCAGCCTATTTTTGTACTGAAAGAAATGGGTAGTTATTTAATAAATGTTGTATAACATATCTGAAAAACACCTTGGTACACTGAAAACTGTATGTACTTACTGAGCACCACAAAGGTGGCTTTTCTACCTGAATGTGATAGCTGCAATGTTAGTGCTGAACTTTGTGATACTGAGACAGTATCTTTGAATGACTGAAATACATGATGGAACTAAATCACTGTGACAAATCTGAGCTTTTTCCAGGTTTAGGAGCTATAATGTTTTCAACACTGAAAAGGTAAGGAGGTTTGATTATTTTCCTAAAAAGCCTGTGTTTAAAAAGAGTATTTATGGAGAAGGCTCTTATCAGTTTTCTACCAACTCCCCAGTAAGAATTTGATGCTCCTTTTTTGAAAAAGAGAATAGTTATCTTTAAGAGAACACGTAACTCATGCAATGCTGCAACTTAAATAGTCAAGCAATATTAACTGTGCAGAAGTAGAGATGCTGCTAAATGCAGCAATGCCTCCACTGTGCTGCAGCCACAGAGCACAGGACAGAATGCCGTGAAGAACCTCCAAACGCATATGTCTTATTTTAGTAAAAATTAAACCATGGAATTTTATTTAGGCCTCCTGAAGGGAAGTTAAATCCCCCCCCGCCCCCCGAAATCATTACAAGGATGACAGTTCTGTAGTCTGTCTCCCCAAAACCTTGGTGATGCACTACATCCCTTTTTGGTCTTGCTTTTAGTCATTTTCTCAACCTGTATAAACTACTGAAAATCTTTTAAACAGAAGATACTGGATGAGATGCAGGGAGGAGTGCTTGTTTTAAAAGCTAATTAGCTTCTGTTGAAGTCCAACCTTTAAAGGAGCCTTCAAAGGGGAATTTGTTTGTTTGGAAGAGAAAGATGTGGATCTTTCAAGTTAACATTTTCTGGTGTGGTGTTTTGAAGGGGATAAGTGTTGGGACATGTGGCTACTTCAGATAGTGCAGAAAGCTTTTTCTTGCACTTTCCTAGTCAGCACAGTGAATTAGGACTTTGCTCGTTTTCTTGCCTGGAAGATTTAAAGCATCCTTCAGTGAGATAGTCCCCAGAGCCTGGCTTGGACACTGCTGTGTGGTGACCCACAGCACAGAGGCACTGCCAGGGCAGGTGGTGGGGGTGCAGTGGTGCTCACAAGGAGAAACTGGGCTTTGTGATGCATGGCATTGTTACTCATTTGACACTTCTCTCTGTCTCCTTTGGCTTTTTCCCTGCCCAGGTAACTTACTCGGCTCTGCTTAACCCCCATGATTAGTGATAGGGGAGAGGGCACCATGTAATTAATGTTAAAACAGTAAAAATGAGCCCCAAAGGCCCAAGCTGGCCACCCAACCATAAGAGTGTTTTGCACACGGAAGTGCAGGTGACCTGTGAGGCGACAAGGCCCTGCCTGATCACACTGAGTTTGTGTGTTCAGTGCAGCCGCATTACATTTTTAAAATCACCTCTCAACTTTCTGCTAAACCACAGGCCCTTTGGAAGAGGGTTAATTGTCTCCCATTGCCTTTTTTGTTTTCTGTGGATTAGAACAAGCTTCAGGATTTTGTCTTCTGTGGTTAGTGTGCAATCACAGCTGTAAATATTACAACAGGGGCATTCACATCCTTCTGAAGCTGCAGTTGGAGAGTAAAACCTAATACTAAATTTAATGGAAGAATAGTCTTTGTAGAGAAAATTAGGATTAGACATCCTTCCACTCAAATTGTAGCTCATGCCTCAAGTGGTCTGAATTAAAGTATGTAGTAGAGTTAGAGGGGCAGTAAAAGAGCTGTTACTCCATGCTCTGCTGAGATTTTCTTTTTATATTCCTATCCTGGAAGAACATAGCAATTATGAGCTGGAAAACAAATGTGGTCAAAGCAATCAAAGCTTAGGGAGATGGTGATACACATCCTAAAATGGTGATGGGTGTTAATGCCATTCCAAACACTTTGGTTCTATATTTTTTGATGAGGAAGCTGAGGGGTTCCTATGTGCAAGCCAGTCCCTCTTAATTAGCAGGGTTCTGTACTTTAGTGGCGTTCCGTGGTTCGGTACCACGATTCCGAGTGAATTATTGTCCAAAGCATCAGCTGGGGAAGGGCTGTAAGGGATGATGGAAGATGTGTTTCTCTGGCAGAGTGAGCAGCAGTGGGGAGGGGAGGCCGTGCAGGCTGAGGGACGGATCCCTGCCCTGTGCTGACAGTGTTATTTAGCTGTTCACAGCTGCCCTGCCGAGCAGCAGACGCAGTCCTGTGTCTGACACTGGGCCCGGGGGACTCGGCAGTCTGTCACGAGGAGGAAAATCGTAAATTCTCTCTGTTGCTGTGGTGGTTGGAGGAATCTTCAGCGTACACGGAGGAGGGCACTGGTGTTCAGCAAGGAGCCTGAGTCTGTTAGTCTGTTGCTTTATTTATTATGCATGAAAAATCCCAGTGCAGCCAGGGACTGTATTGTAAAGGTTTCCTGGCAG